CAGAGCTGGGTGTCCGGGGGCTGCGATGGTGGCGATGGCGATGCTGCGGCACCTGCTGGGCCTTGGCCTTGGTTTACGCATCTTCCCTGCCCCATTGGCACACAGTTGCGGCAGATCCTGTTGTTCCTCCTGCAGTCACAGTTCTTGCACTGGCCTCCGCGTGGGTTCCCTTTGCTGTTGCATATATATACACAGCATATATATATACACACTCGGCTTACAGTCCTTACCCCGTGTGTGTCGACAGGTGGAGGAGAGGGCTCTGGCACAGGAAAAGATTCCCAAGGTCAGTGACCAGCTGAGGGAGCTTGAAAAGGCGGAAGGACGCGCTGTGGACGAGCTCTACGCCATTTACGAGAAAGGCTGGTGGTCGCTGGCGTCCTACGGCCGCATCGTTCAGCTGAAGCGGAAAATCGACAAGTGGCGCGAAGAATATGATGAGCTCTGGGCAAAGTATAAGAGACTCGGTACGATCACACACACGGGCACACGGGCCTTCTCTTTCTCATGTGCGTCTTTCCTTGCCCCGCCCGCTCTGCTGTCCTTGTGTGTGTGATCACTCAGAAGGGCCACCGGGCCCGAAGACCTGGCTTGACTTATTCCCGTAGATAGATAGGCAGGGAGGGAATGCACACGTGCGTGCGTAGCTGTGTAGCGTCCGACAGTCGGCCTGTCAGCCAGGGTTCTTCGTGGCATGTCTGAATAATCGCACAGACCATCTACCGATTCCGCCAAGCGGATAGCTGCATCCTACAGACAGAAGCACGTGTTGCTGTCCTAATGTGAGCCACCCGTTTTCCTCTCGATTTGACACCCGTCTGTCTGTCTGTCTGTCTGTTCCGTTCACTTGGGAACAGTCACGTGCGTGTCTGCATGTACAACAGATATCACCTGTGAACACTGATTTATGTGTGTGGCCGGCAGATCTCATAAGTTTTTCGGGTGTTGGGAGTCAGCCAGGCGCCCATGAAGACACTCAAGTCATCGCAGTACTGGGAAGGTGAAGACTCAGCAATGCATAAATCTGTTGGCCTCCGCACTATCAGACTTGACAATATCTTGCGGTTCTCCCCAGTCATTGAGCTCTCCAGCTTTTTCAGCTGTCGTCTCAACAATGCTGCATGTCGTCGACGATGTCTCGACCGAACGAGCAGTCCTGGTCAAGGTGGACCTGTTGCGGGCTCTTTATTGTCCTTTCAGGGTTGACAAGTGCGATTTCGTCAACGCGGTGGAGATCGCCACTTCTCATATGAAGCGGTACGTTCCAGCAGGTCTGCCATCGCGTCCTTGGAATTCTGTCTGTGTGCTTTGCAGTGCGGCCCTGCACATGAGTGAGTGGTTTTGGTCGGAGGCGGCTATCGAGTACGGCGAGCTGCTTCCAAAATGGAGGATGTGGGGAGTGCGAGTCGTTGTTGTGGTAGCGAGTGAGTGAGGAGTGAGTGAGGCCTGCCAACAAGAAAGTAAGTTGAGCCAGGAAACGGTCGGGGAGGCAGCACAATGTGAGGTCACTTTCTGTGTATGTGCCATATCTCCCTCTCCCTCTCCGTCTATGTGTCTGTCTGTGTTTGTGTGCGTGTCTGTCTGTCTGTGTGCGTGTCTGTGTGTGTAGGGCGGGGTGGTACTTCAACTGCATTGCAAAAGGGGCCACGCGTAGGGTCATGTTCGCCCCCACGTTCCGAGCTTCTGGGCCTTGTGCTCCCTACATCCAGTGCGAGAAAGTAAGGACACACAAGGACACGTTCCTGATCTACTGACGGCGGCCTCCCCGTCTCACGTATGTATACATGGTCTTTGATTCCGTCAGGAACTCTGGGATGGTTTGATCGACATCATCGAGAAGAGAAACGAGTACTTCAAGGACAAAGGCCTGGTGACGAAGCCGAACTCATACAACGGCGGGGTCGTCAGCCTCGATTTGACGGTGAGTGAAGACATGACGGCAAGTGAAACACAAGACCAGCCAGGTCTGATTGCCGTGTGACAGGTACACGCTGTTTATGGCAAGAGGAGCAAAAGCTGTTGTTCGGTGTGGATGACAAGGTGGAGATGAAAATGCACATACGTAGTCGTCACCCCACCCTGCCATCTTATTGCCGTTCCTACAGGTCTATCACGAGGGTGTCAAGGAAATGATAAAAACCATATTCGATATTCCTGACGACCACAGAATCATCCTCGAGGACGCCTCTGAGGAGGACTCTAGAGGCATTGTGTCTTTCTTCGAGAACGGCAGAAAGTACACACTGCGGTCCAAGCCTCCTCCTGAAAGGCCAGGTACTCAGACTTTGAGTCTTTCATGGACCACACAAACTGGTGAGTCAGAAGTCGTGACACTGTGCGTATCCCGACACTTACAGACCTCAAGGGGTACTCTCAAAGCCTTCTCCGAAACAACAGATACACCGACAATCAGCACGCCGTAAGGGACCAGAGCAAGACAGGTTCCTCATTACTGTGCACAAGATCCATTACCCCCTTTTGCTGGTGCTGTTTGGTGCTTGCTCTCATGGCTCTTGTGCCAGCCTTGGTTTGCCTGCTTCCCCCCGTCCACCAGACTGCGGCGGGCGCTGCCCTCTGTGGGGGGCTTTTCGGCAAGTGCAACTGGGGAGGCTGGTGTTCCCCTACTTGGATCTCAGAGGGAGAGAATGAGCTGATCGAGCACGTCTCAAAAGTGTAGCGCGCAGCTCATACCCAAGCACAAGCCGAATCATCAGACCCAGAATCCGGAGCATCAAACGTCTGATGAAGCGTGGACTGGGTGAATGGGTGGCTGGGTGGGACGAAAGACGACAAGATGTATGTTTCTGGGGGCGTCGTCTCTTGGCCGATACATTTGTGTGCTGACCTCTTTGGTCGTGCGGATGCCCGGAGGCAGGCAGGCAGGCAGGCAGTCCGGCTATCTGTCCTTTCCTTTCCTTTCCTCTCCTTTTCTCCCTTGCACAGCTATCGGATGGCCAGCCAGCCAGCCGGAAAACCAACAACAACATCCAACTGGAATGCGCGTCAAGCATACGTGTGTATTCGGGGTGGGGTGTATGCGTTGTATGTCATGTCTGCACGCACACCGATGCGATGCACATTCACACATCGACCAAGCATCCATCCATCTCCTCACAAGGAAGAAGCACGCCATAGATACTTACACATCACATTCGCACATCCATCCATTCATCCATTCATTCACTCATCCACTCATCCATCCATGCAGCCTCCCTGTCGATCTCTTCTTCGGTTTGTCGGAGCGTGTGGCGCATTCTCTGGCCCAAATAACCGGCAGAGAGCACCCACTCATCTCGTTTCTCGTCGCGTGTCGCCTCCTTCCGCCTGCCTACCTACCTGCCTGCTCGCCTTTCTGCCAGCCACAACAGTCCTGGCTCAGCCCTTCCGATATCTTCGTTGTACTGTCCTTTACGCCCACCAAGTAGATTTTGCTCAACAGATGGTGGTGGTTGACAACTTTAATCAGGGAGTCACCCCACACGAACGGAAAACAACAAAGAGCACCGTCACGGTACACAAACCACCGACTGCCGTCGCCTGACTTAAATTCGGTCAACGATTCTGACTCAGGCAAATATTTGGCCGAAAAACAGCCGGACACAGTCGAATATTTGGCCGAAAAAATAGCCGGACACAGTCTTTCAACACGATGCGACACACACGATGCGACACGCACGAGAAACGCACACAGAGAGACACACACAAAACGGAAGAACACTGCTTCACATCCACTGCTTCACATCCACTCAACGGCGAATATCTCAGATCCGCGAATAAATGTTCACCCAACGACTGATCACCATCAAATGTTCTTACTGCACACCGTTCCGCTAGACCTCCGTGTGCCCTGCCAAATCGGCTGCAACGGTCTGCTGAGATTCCGTCGGCTGCTTGTCTGTACCGTCTGACTGCGCCGATTCCGTACTGGCTGTCCTCCGGCCAGACACATGATTGGTGTGATTGGTCTGCTTGGCCTCAGCTCGTGATATCGCCGGAGGACCGATAAGGGACAAAAGGACGGGTAGACAGATGAGACCGTGCATCATCCCAAACAACACCGCCATTAGCATCATGCGGAAATAAGTGAAAAAGATGTAAGAGGGTGATCCGGCGAGAGGCAGCGTCGCCAGTAATGTGGACATGCCACCTGCATACATCAACACACGAGCGCAACTGTTGCGCTTTCCGTTGGCCTTCTCGGCTGCCTGACCGTTCGCTATGCTGACTCCCATCGTTGAGAGCGCCTGTTGCATCCGCTCATCTCGTGTGCCTGGAGCCAGCATAAAGGCATGCGCCAGGTGGGCCGAGTAATCCACAGAAAAGCCGATCGACAAGACTAGATTTATCATGCTGATGCTGTCAAGCGGGACATCCCACCAAGTCATGTAGCCGATCTGCAACTGAAACAGGCACATTCAACGACACGCAGACATACACGGAGCCGCTTCTGTTAAGCCTACCAGATTGACGTCGATCATCACAATCATCACGAAGACAAACAGCACGGTGAGTGGGTGAGACAGGAAGACGAAGGTAACGACCAGCACGGCGGCAACAGCAATCAGCATCGTTTGAATCGTCTGCGGAAGAATGGCAACGTCCTGTTCGAACCTAGACGCAAAAGCACACAGCAGACAGGCCTAAAAAGCGTAACTCTTTTTCTTCTTTCGGCATCCCCACCAGAAGAATTGCGGATGTGTGACAAACCCGGTCAGCAAGCTCCGAGTCATCGACCACATCACGAAATGAAAGCATCAAATCGTCCTGACCGGCATAAGAACATTAAAGGTACTGGCATGTGCTGCGGGAGCACATGCCCTTCAATAAACCGTACCTGCTTCCGAAACGGCAAGCCTATTGTCCTCACAAAAATGCGCAAGTGGCTTATGTGTCCATCAGCATTCCAAATCACGTCTTTCTTGAAGGGATCGCCGTCCTGCTTCAGAAAAGTGTCGAGATGATCATAGAACGCTGCGTGCGACGTGTTGAATTGGTTCAAGCTTCGCCAATCATCGTATGTGCGCACCAAGGAGGTGATCTGCAGCGGATGGAGTGCGCATTGAAGTCATTCTGGCTGCTATCGTGCCTCGCTCATTCTCACCCTTTTGTCTGTGTCTGCGTGCGCATACACATTGTCTTCGAGGTCCGTCGTGAGCTGCTCCAGCTGTCTCATGTCCTCAGCAGAAGTGAAGTTGAGCCCACTGATGCTCACAGTCAAGGACAGCTCTTGAGCCGGCCCATCAAGCCCGAGTCTCTACACGCGCAGGCGAAAGAACAGATCCACTCAAGCTTGTGGCACAAATAGATAGTCTCGTACCTCTTCTGCGACATAATACTCTCTGATAAGATGAAGGGATGAAGGCACAGTGCATTCATTCACCTGGCGCGTGTTTCCCTACCTGAAGTAGGACCCATACGGAGACAACTTTTGTAGTCTCAGACCTTGGTCGAGATGCAGTATGCCCACAATGCCTGGGCCACAGTTGGACATTTGTGCGTCACCGCCCGAGACAGAATCTGACGGACGTACCTCCAGCCAGCAAGGCAAGGAAAGAGAGGATGACGGCTGCCTTCACCACAGGCTTGGCGAGGAAGGGGCCAAGGTGCACTTGAAAGATTGCCGTGAGTCCCCATGGCAGACGCTGGTGTGGCCCTCTGTACGCTTCCGGGTCCCTGCTCTTGAGGAGGAGCCAATCTATGCTGCCGTGTAACAGAAGAATCACCACAACGTCGGGGCAGAGTCGTATGAGGGCTTTCGTGCTCTCCCTCACCGGTTGTGGTTCTGCCTGATTGCGTCCAGGTGTACGCACGCAAGGAAGCCCGTGATTGTTAAGAGGAAGACGCAGAGAATGGCAGTGGCCGTGTACAAACAGAAGCCCTTCACAACCGGAAAAGAGGCGGTGGCACCAGCCGCGAACGCGACGAAGGAGGTGAGAGTGGTCATGGTGATCGACGGTCCACACTGCTTCATGGCCAGAGAGACTCGCTCCCTTGGCTCGATGTCGGGATCCTTCTCGTGCACCGTGTTGAGGCTAATGAAAATGTCGTCGACTGATAGACAATCGCGAATACAAGAAGCCTCGGAACAGGATGACATGGGAGAACTCCGCTCTAGTCAGGCGCCCTGCATACCTCCGACGCCCAGTATCAAGAAGGGGGAGAGACCAACGACTGAAAGAACCAAAAGCACATGAGCAACCCAAGTGACCCTCTCGTCATCGTAAACGGACCTGCCGTGAAAGGCACCCCTGCCAATCCCATGATGCCGTAAGCAAGGCAAAGGGACAGCATGACAAAGCCGACACCGGTCAGCGCCAGAAGCATTTGAGACCGGACGAGATTCTTGTGACGGTAAGTCACAGACACCGTATAGCCTGACACATGAACATCAAGCACGATTTATGGCAAGAAACTGATGAGGTGCTCGCCCGTGCTGAGTGCTCACCGATGAGCACGATGAAAACCACCGTCATGAGGACAAGATTACCGCCGACGGATCGCTCGATCTCGGTGTCTATGGAGTGCTCTGTCCGCACATAGACACGGAAGCCCTCACTTTCCCCCCACCGTTCGCTGTCCACATCGATAAACCTCGACACGAGATTGCCTTCCCTACGGACAAATAGAACAGATACTTCGTATAGCAAGAAGATCGCCTTCACATTCCTCACCAAGTTCTCGCTTCATCTATCGGTCTCGTACCAAACACAAAGTGATAGGCACTCGCACTGAGCACTCGGCCGTCGGCAGCGCGATGTGGCATCGCTAGCAGCATCGATACTTCATCACGCAGCACCCTGCCGCATTGGTCCATGCGTGTCCGCTCATTCAGCTGGTCAATCAGCTGCTCATCGCTGCTCGGCAGAGTCTTGTTGTCCCACCAATTGAAAACCGACAGACGAAAGCAGCTACCGTCAGGGGTGTTGCCGCGGTGGCATACGTCGGAGAAGGTCACAGCCTTGCCCTCGTGCACCACGCTGTCCGTCAGGATGCCATCGAGAATCTGCTTCGCATTGGCAAATCGGTCGGCTGTAAGGACATTCGCGTCGAAGCTGCCTTGCCAGACAAGGATGACTGTCGAAAACCTGGCGGCAAAAGACATTTCGATTATTAACCTACCAGCAGTTGAGTCCACACCTACGGCTACTGTGTACCTGATGCCCTGATCGCCCCAGATCTTCTCCACTGCCTTCTCGTCATGGACGGCCCTCGAGTTGGTAGGAAAATATAATTGCTCCATTCGCGGCTCATACTTCATCAGTCCGAGAAAGACCCCTGTAACGACGACGATACGCATGCACATCGACAAGTGCACATCGAGCGCATGATCATGAGCTTGGTCCTCACCGAGTCCAGTGAGTGCGAGTAGAACAGGAACGATAATGAAGGGCAGCTTGTGACGTCCAGCCGCATTTGAGAGCCCGTAGAAGCAGCTGGCCAGCCAGTGGTCGAACGAGTGAAGGACGCTGAGGCATGATGATTCTCGTATCATAGTGTCCACGTGCAGGATCTGTGATGTCGGATCTGTGATGTCGGGGTGTGGCAACGGCAAAAGAAGCTCACCGGAGATCCTCACATCACGGTGAGAAATTGAAACGGCGCTTGAACGTCGAAGCACTTGAAGAAGCAGCACAACCGACAGACTCTGCCTGACTTGGTAGGAAACTTGCCGAGAGATCTTCACAGGGAGAGTGACACTAAATCGTGGCGTAAAACGCAAAAGGAGCTGACGAGGCGACTCTTTTTTCCATACAGCACTTGCAATATAGCCTTTGTCAATGTATGTCATGCGACTAGTGACGACGCCGATTGCCGACACGGAACATCCGAAACGACGCGTCCTAGGCGACGTACAATACGTGCAGAATTAATACAGACCAAATATATCTGGGTCCTGCGTCGCAACGTCCGAACACCCCTAGTCATTAAACCTCCAGACTCATCACACCACACACATCCATACACACACACATCCATACACACGTCTTGACGCACATGTGTGCGCCCAGCGCCCAGCAGCAGCAGTCCACCCACCCACCCACCCACCCCCTCTCACCCACACTCTCTGTCTGTTATGCATGTCCATGGGGATGCGTGTATGTACATAAGAACATATGACCCAATCACGACATACACACACACATAACGTACACACACACATATCTGTATATGCCGCCGGTCGCAGAGGCGGAAAGGGTTGCTTCTACATCTGGGTCGGCCATCCATCCGTATATCCATAGGTCCACCATCATCGACTAAGCCACTCCCATGATGGTCACAAAACACGACTTACAGATGTACCGTATACAAAGCTAGTCTATGCAATATGCCCCAGGCCGTCATGTTTGTCAGTGAGTGTGTTCTATATGCACTACAGCTCATCTTTCCCCTGTGCAGTCTTTCCCTTGTCGCCTTCCTGCTTCCCCAGCTTGGCATTGATCTCCTGCAGCTCGTCCTCGGCGTACTTGTTGGCCGGGAGGAGGTACCCTGTACACATAACACACACTGATGTACCATTGATACACCAGTGCAGCATGGGTCTCACCTGGCTCTGGCTCCGCCAGCCATGACTTGATGATGGCGAAGGCCGCCTCGAAGTCGTCCTTCTGCTTCTTGGGCAGCAGTTCATTCAGCTGGTTCTTGGTCCACTTCACTTCTGGGTTCTTGTAGTTGCTCTTGCCGAGGATCCCCTTGATCTTGTCGATGGTCTCGATCTTCTTGTCAGCAGAGATGACGTGTTTCTGGACGAGCATGTTGACGATAACGTCCACTTTCACGGACACTGGTTGCGCGACGTCCGCCCCGTTCCTGCCCGAGACAGATACACACCCAATGACGCGCACCGGACCATCTGCCAACTGCCGTGGATGTCTCCATGACCTACCAGTACACGCCGGTCCACGAGGCGATTCCTTTCTTCTCCTTCTTCATTGCCTTGACCTCAGCCATCTTTGCCACACTGTCGGCCTGACATCAATCCAACCGACACAAGAGCAGCTGTGTATGGTGCTGTTTACTCTATGCTGCCCATGGCTTACATCGTGATCCGATATGACGCCGCCCTTTCTGAGGTCGCCCTTGAGCGTCTTCGCGATCTCTATGGCGCCTTCCTTCCCGTGGCGGTGCACCGCCACCCAGTAATAGATGCGCGATTGGAAGTAAGCCGCATTGGCCTTCGCCTTGTGGATGCCGTAGCCACCGGTTTACTCAGCCGGCACAAACGACGCCATCTCGAGGTGGATGCCCTGTGCAGAGAGAAGAGCACATGCCTATCTGCCCAGCAGCACGGGTAATGCCAGCCCAACCGACTGACCTGGCGTTCTTCCCGAAAACTGGCGCCTGTCCTGACCTGTGTCTTGAGGTCATCACGGATCTCCTCCGAGGCAACGGGGTCATGGATGCGGTGACCCCACAACGCCTGCAACAAACAAGGACAGGGACGTCATACTTCATATGCCGAGTGACACGCACTGTCATGCATCCCAGAAGATGGGACGTACCTCCTGGAGGGGCATGTGGTCGGTGTTCTTTGGCAGAGATAAGATGCGGGACTTCGGAAGTTTGCACCACCTCCATGACTGTTGGCAGATCAGCGACACTGAGAAATCCCAAACCTTAGCATGAGGCTCGCCGTCCTTCAGCCACTCCTTCAAGACCGACACCTGGACACCCTTGGTGATGCCGCCTGACAGTAGACACACAGCCGCCAGTAGTGCGTGTGCCTGTGTATGTCACCACTGTCCTGCCTTTCCACCCCTCCTCCCTCTCCTCCCGCACTCACTCTCACCCTCCCTCCCTCCCTCTCCCTGAGTGTGTGTCGGCCTAAGTAGAGGTACTCTTCCTTGGTGAACTCGAGCCGCGCGTTGTTGTCCAGCAGCGTCTTCACCGTGCGATGCTGGTGGTCGAGCCTCTTCTCAGACCATCCGCGCAACTCCTTCAGGACGAGCATCCCAGCGATGACCACCACAATCCCCAAAACGACGGTTCCGGCCGAGAGCCCGTTCCCTTTCACCATGACCTCAATCCGATCCCATCCAATGACGAGGTTCGTGTAGAGGTGGCGAGGGTCGAGAACATCACGGATCCCCTCGAATGGGTCACTGGCGTCAGGCACTGGCGGCGAGCGGGTGGGGTGGCGAGGCGGGTAGGCAGATTCTGTGCCAGGTTGGCTGTGGCCACTCTGCGGCTCGCCGGTTGTGTGGTTGTCGCAGAGGCGGGCACATGAGTCATCATCCACGGGATTGAACCTACACATCAATCAGAGCACATACAGCACCCACACAACACAACGCAAACACAACACAAACAAAAGTGCGTTGTGCATGGAGGAAAGTGGTGTTTTCTGGCTGCGGTGTGGTCCGTTGTGTCAGCATACCCGTCAGTGTCGTTGGTAGGTGCACCTGCTTCTGGTGTGGTGCCACTGGTCGGCTTCAGATCGTGCATCAATGGTGGGGTGGAGTGAGGCCGTGTGCTGCTGGTGGTGTGGGAAGGGCTGTCGACGCTGGGACTGTCGTGGACGGCGGGCGGGACCTCCGTGGCCAGACTGGGAGGGCGGGCATCTTCATCATCATCCACGGGATTGAACCTACACATCAATCACAGCACACACAGCACCCACACATCACAACACAAACACAACACAAACAAAAGTGCGTTGTGCATGGAGGAAAGTGGTGTTTTCTGGCTGCGGTGTGGTCCGTTGTGTCAGCATACCCGTCGGTAGTGGGTGTGGTCCCTGCCGTAGGGTAGATGACGGCGGCCGAAATGACCACCCTGCACACAGCCAAGAAGGAGAGTGATCTGCCTTTATTTGTGGATGGATGTGCCGTGGAAGTGCCCACCAGTAGAGCGCTTGCACCGGTTGTGCCATGCACTGCGCACAGCCGTTGCAAAACGACGATATGGCGAGGCAGCGGATACACGCGGCCATCGTGGGAGCCTGTGTGGTTGAGGTCTTGTGCTCAAGAGAGCACCGTCGCTCTCGCGGAACGATAGGAAACGAGAAATGCCTTCGTGCTCTGTTACATCCTTCGCTGAGATATTCGGGGACCGCGAATTTACGGGAAGGCGAGTCTCGTCCTGGCCGTCTCGACATGCAACCCCTCATTGGTACGAGACAGCGGTTGGTGTCCATGTCGATAGAGGATGTGGAGGGCATCAGTCCGATTGAGACTTGGTCATGCATGTCATCTGTTCATTCTCGCGAGAAGAGAAGATGTTATCTATTTGCTCTGCGCGGCCATATTTAGGACAATTATCAAATTCTCAAATTCTCACTCGCGAGAGACTGAGACGACTTGTGTTTTGCATTCCACGAAGGACTTAAGATCTCAGTGCGGAAGAGACTTCCGATGCTTGTTAGATGTTCATATCGTCAGCCATGACGGCATCAGGGAGAAAACAACACATCGAGTATATCTTCCATGAAAGTCCAAAGCCCCAACGTGACGTATGTAGCATTTGCACAGTTCATTCAAGACGTACCAAATTCAAGAAGCAACCGAAGTTCAGGCCTTCCTTTTCGCTTTCTTGCGGCTGCCCCTTCTTGCGAAGGGCTTTGCTCGACCAGCCTTCTCAGCCTTGTTCTGCAACAGCAACAGAGCTGTCCCAAGTGTGACATCGGTCAGTCTGAGGCTGGCGGGAACAGATGCAAACTGCCTCTTATGCGCAACATACACCCCGTATCGTGAGACACCTGACGGAGAAAGGACCAAGGACAGATAAAGCCTTGCTGTATCTTTCTCTTTACGCACCTATCCTAATCGGTTGGCCAGTCATTGGATGGCTGCCCAGCTCCGCCGGAAGTTTAAGGAGCAAAAGGGCTTCGTCAAGAGTCACAGTATTGCACCATTGTGTTGGAAGTGCGCTACGCTGTGGCTTGTTGCGTTTCCTTGCAGAAGAGGCCCGGGAGCTGGCGGTCGTATTAATGTCGAGCTGCACGTACCGTCCGTACGGCCCGACCCGCACAGAAACAAATCCACCTGTACAATTCAATGCAATTGCAAATCAAAAACTATTTATTCAGTGGATGGGCTGAGATTCGTCGTTCCCACACGCACCTGTTTCTGGGTCTCGGCCGAGTACGGTGCCCGAGATGTTCCCCTCCCCAGCTGTGGCCGTCCCGCCTGCAGAAACGTCACCCTCGGTGTCGGCTCGCCGGTTTGGCTCCTTCAGGTAGTCGCACTGCGGATAGTTAGAGCACCCGACGAAGGCACCATGCTTTCCAAGACGAAGGCCGAGGTTCCCCTTCCCGCACTTGGGGCAAGGGGGAGCAGTGCCGTTCACGGTTGATGATGCAGAAAGATCGGATGCAGCGTCAGCATTAAAGAGGAAGAAGTAGAGGTCGCTCGTTAGCTGGTCTCTGATGCGGCCGGGGTCCAGACGGAGGGCAGCCTCCACCGTGGGCTTGAAGTCATGCCAGAACTCGCACAGCACGGCCTCCAACCCTTTGCGAGTTGTGGCGATGAGGTCCAAATCACGCTCGAGCTGATTCATTCATGCACACAAATGGCGAATCCGATGCCAGCCGATGTGTGACTCTTATTGCTACTATTGGACCTACATTGGCTGTGAAGTTTATGGCCACGTATCGGGGACAGTAGCGTTTGAGAAAGGCAGTCACCAAACGGCCCCTGTGGACGATTCGAAGAAAAAGAAGTGTACATTCGATGCCACTCAGGGCCAATTCTACCTTGGTTCAGCAAAGAGCATCCGTCGAGTCTTTGAGACGTAGCCACGGTCAAACAGTGTTGATATTATGCCTGCCAGCGTGCACAACACGACAAGCGGGGAAGCTGTTACGGAGTTGACGCAAATTGCCTACTCGCATAGGTGGAAGGCCGCCCAATTCCATGAGCCTCAAGGTGTTTCACAAGCGACGCTTCAGAGTAACGAGGAGGGGGCTTTGTCCAATGCTCAGTCGAATTCAACTCGCTCATGCTGACCGCCTCTCCAGCCGCCAGGACACCAACCAGAGCCCAGCTGCCGTTCGAGAAGTCACTCGCCTGATAACGATCGGAAGCAGACCATGGCGAGCATTCTCGCGGTCACGTAGGTACGCACCGACCCACCAGTATCAGACTCTTCGTGTTGCTGCTCCCTTTCGACTGCGCTCCCTGCCCTTCGTCATCCACCATGTCAGCGCCCCGACGGCTGCCTTCCTGATAGACTCTCAGAAAGCCGTCAAATGCCAGTGATGAGCCACTCGCCCTGAAAGCATTCGGCGTGGCTTGCTGTCGCAATTGTCCTTTTCGCCTTCCTCGCGGCTTGACTAGGCCCTCGGTGTGGCGCTGGATGGCCTCTTGCGGAGAAGCGAAATCCGATGTGTCACACACATCTATCATCAGCTGGTCGTATGCTGCGCTGCTCATCTGGAGAGGAAATGGACAGAATGACAAAGAAGGACATTAGCCAAGAACCCGAATTCTCGATTGAAAGCCTGACCTGTGATGCAATGGTCCGTTTCCAGATGAGATCGTACAGTTTGAGCTCATCGCCCGCGTAGACTCCTCGAGCGCCAACGTCATCCGCAGTCAAGCTGAGAACAAAGTGCGAGGAGGGAGGTAGTGAGTAGGCAGGTGAGCCAGACACAGACTTGTGGTGCAATTTACGTCATTTCCGTTGGCCTGATGGCCTCGTGTGCTTCTTGTGCATTCTTTGTTCTAGTAGTGTAGCGTTTTGCTCGACGAGGGACGTATGAGGCACCGTATTTCCGCTTCGCCATCTCTCGTGATGCTTGCACGGCCGCCTCGGACATGGTCACGCCGTCGGTCCGCATGTATGTTATTAGCCCTGGGCCGTCCCTTCCCTCGTAAAGGGCCTGCGCGAGCAAGCATCAAGAGAGAAAAATGAATCGTGTCAAATTATGGTTAGTCGATGCTCGGCTCGGCCACGTGGACCACGTACCTGCGCCAATCTCATGGTCTTCTTTACTGGAAATCCAAGCTTTCGCGACGCTTCCTGCTGCAGTGTGGAAGTGGTGAAAGGAGGCGCTGGAGCACGAGACAGCCGGCCAGTCTCAACACTTGCAATCTAAATTGCCAAGTAGGCTCAATAATCATCAACACCGTGCCATTCCTCGGTCCTACTTACCACGTAGTTGCCAATTCGAAGCTCAGACAGGGTCGCGGACACCTCAGAATGGGTACTAAAAGTGACGCCACATGTGCCATTCGACTCGCTGCCCTGTCATGACACAGGCCGAAGAAGGAAATGTCATTCTGCAGCCTTCATTCGCACTCTCACTTACATTGAATCGCAGTAGTCGTGCAGAGAAGGAGGATGGTTGCCCCTTTGAACTGGCGCCCTTGAAAGCAGCGACCTCAAACGTGGCCCCAACGGTCCAGTATTGCTCGGGACAGAAGCGTTCGATTTCCGCTTCTGATAACACGAAAGCAGCAATCTCGTGTGAGGGCAGTGACTTGATTTCTTTCCGGTACCTCGTTCTGACACTAGTCTCAACGCGACAGATTGTACTCGCCCTGCGGACCTGCTTCCGGGCAGCTTGCGCCACAAAACGGGGGATAACTCAAAACCAACCTGTCTCAGGTAAATCAGACATGGCCATCAATAACGGACGCGATTCATTCCAGCCTAACCAAGTAGAGTCCTCACCAAATAGTCCAGTGCCAAGCGGGCGAAATATGCATCCACAAGCGCCTGATCAATTCTTCTTGGATGTTTAAAGGCCTCCTGCACCGCCTCCTTTGTGATTTCACAAAAAGAGACGCGGAAGATCTCCTCAAGATGGTCGTGGAAGCCCTTCTCTCGCAGCATCTCCACCACATGCCACGCGATCGCCTCCCCCTCACGGTCAGGGTCGGTTGCAAGGTAGAGCCGCTTGGCCTTCTTGACGGCAGCCACAATGTGTTGCAGCGTAGAGGGCCGAGCTGTTGCTGTCCACCTCATGCGGAAGCCCTGCGTCGGATCGACTGAGCCCTTCTTGGAGGGAAGCTGCCTTATGTGCCCTTTGCTGGCCACGACGCAGAAGTCATCTCCAAGGTATCGCTGGATTGTCCCTGCCTTTGCTGGCGACTCCACGACGACTACATTAGGCTGATGCTTCATTTGCAGAGAGCTGCCGCAACGAAAGCGCTGGTGCAGAGGCTGCAGGCAAGGGTAGGGAATGACGTAGGCGGAGAGGGGCAACACATAGAGCAATAGCTTCCCGAGTAGCATAAACGAAGTCAGCATCACCCCTGCGCAAACGCAGACAGCAAGAGCAGCGCGAATGCAGGTGGAACTTCACTCCGTGGTCTGCTGTTCCCACAAGCTGAAGGACACGAGCAATAAGTGAATCCGTCTGCTCACCTCAAGGGGTTTCTGATGCGAGTGAAGTGGTGTGAGTTGCATTCGGATCTCTTCAACACTGATCACACGAAGTCACACTCACAAGCGAAACACACAACCGTCACCATGCACTCGGAGTTTGCTGCCTGAATGTACCGTTGAACGGGCAATGCGGCTCTACGTCGAAGCACTCGAAGATCCGCTCTGACTTGGCCGCCATGCGCGTGAGCTGCTGGCGTCAGACGACTATGTCCAGGGACTCTCCTCGTCAGATCTGTGCCGGCTGCCGGATTTAGTTTTACGCCTTCGCAGTCATGAACTTCATATCCTGGTGTTTTCGCAGTCCTCTACTCAGCTACAGTTTTTGGTGCCAGTGACCCCTGGCGAGATGGAGCAAGGAAAACTCAAAAACTGGAACTAGCGATGCGACAGAGACGTCTGTCTTGCCGTTTCCGTGCTGCACAGCACTTGCAGTATCGTCTCTGGCCAAATCTGTCCAAATCATGTCTGTCCGTGCGATTAGTGACGGCGCCGAATTGCCAACTAATGTGCGGAACTATGCGGAACGTCCAACACGAAGGATCATGATGCACGATACGTGACAGCCAGCGCGAAATAGTTTCCTTGTGTGATGGCTATGCAACGAGACAGGACCTGACACGTCCGTCAGGCGACGTACAAATATGTACAAATACATAGACAGACAAATCAGAAAGACTAATCAAGTAAGTGTGGACAGAGTACAGATCGCTACCGGCGGGCGATTCGCCGCACAAAATACCGGGCCACAGGCAAAAAGAGTGAGCCTATGCTGCCTGTCAGAAGAAATGCTCGCTATCTATGTGTTCTCTGTGGCCTTGGTCTTCGGTGTGTCTCCCTTCTTGCATGCCTGCGAGACCACTATATTTGACGTTCGCAGCCTCTGCCCCGCCTTGTCGAGGGCGACGACAAAGTACTTGACGCACTTGTTGTCTGGCCGCACCGGCGTGTTGTGCTCGAATTTGGTCCTCAGATGTGATGCGATCCTCACGTCATTGGCGAACACCTGTGGGACAGCGAATCAACTCATGAGTACGTGACGTGACGCAGATGGCTGCTCCTCCCTCCCCTCCTTGTACGCACGTTCCACTTGCTTGTCGTGGTGTCGCCATTCCAGCTGTAGAACAGGTGGCCGTCCTCGAGGAGCAGGGTCGGTGGGAAATGAGGCACTGCACCGTGCCAGTCGTGGCGGAATGAACGATACGATTGCAGCTGGAAGCTGTTGACGAACCGCATCTCCATCAGCTGCTCGCCCGACCTTGTCACTTCGGTGTAGAAGGGCGCATTCTTCGGATGAGAGAAGAAGAAACCGCCCTGCGTGCAGTCAGTCACAACGGCACTCTGCGCTAATGTGTGACTCGCCCACTCATGCAGTGCGTGCGATACTCACCCATGATATCACCTTGTTGCTGTTGGGCAAAGTCTGGTCACACACGCAAAATCAAACGCGCACACACGGGGTTAGATATATGCACGTGACAGTGGCCAACCGATGAGCATTGATTGGCTTTCTTACCTGCACGTTTCCACAGGCCATTCCGAACATGGGCGGGTCGTGCTTGTGCTCCCACACCTGAAGAGAGAGCTCGCATTGACCGTGATACTCGCCTGTGCGTGCACATACCTTCGTCACTTTTTTCCTCGCCTCGTCGACGACGTACTCGACGGCCCGACTCTCTCTCGGCGTCCGCAGGTTGCCGTTATCTGTGTGCAGGTTGCCGTTATCTGTATGGACGCGCTTCTTGTACTTAGCAAGGCAGCGAGTTTGTTTGGCGTACCGAAGAGTGTGATTTTGTTCGGAGCAGGCATGCGCGCGTCATGTTGCATCGAGAAGCCGTGATCGTTGACAAAGTCGAACTGATTCGATTTGCCGCCCATGATCCACATGACCTCGCCCGTCTTGCGGCTGATCTTGATGATCTGCAGGGGGTCCCCGGGGGCATTCACGCAGGGAGGAAGGGAAGGAAAGGAGGACAGTTTATGAGCATCCGGTCACACAGACGACACGACTGCCCCCATACCTACCTCGCTCAAGTGTCTGAGTGATAGGATGATGTTGCCGTCTGGATGCCACGACAGGGTGTTGGGATGCATGTGGTCCCATTCGCCTGAAGCCGTTTCAAGTCCAGCAGTGAGATGGGCATCGAGTGCATTTGCACAGCTCGAGCTCACCATTTCTCTTTTGGAAGACCGAATCGCGAAACTGGTTGGGCCTGCACACAGACACCACCACTACTGAGTCGGGTGTGTATCTGGCTTGGTTGCTTTTGCTTACAAGTGGTTCCAGCTATTCCACTCAAAGACCACATGCCCATTCGCGTCTTGTTCCTGGATGATAGTCCCGTGAACGCCTTTCCTGATGTCTTCGCCCATCACAAGCGCATGACCATCCTCCGCACGAACCGCCAAGTCATGTGAGTTGGTCCTATAGCTGCAAGCACACAACCAGCACAGACAGACAGACAGACAGGCAGACAGTGCATATTCCTTGATGGTGGGTCATCCCTCTTGTCTCCCTACCCTCCTTTGATCCTGACATATCGTCGCTGCTTGTACGTCTTATCCATGAGGGTAAAACCCGCGTTGGATGGCCGATGAACAGAGAGCATCCCATTGTCCAGGACCTTCAGGTCGCGCGTGCTCCAGTTGGCGAAGCCTGTGTTCTTAGGTTCCCTCTGCACCCACACAGGCTCTCCTTCCTCCGTGAGGATCATCAGCACGCTGCCGTAGGGATGCTCTGCGTCTGCCATGGACTCGGTGAAGATATGGCCGCCTGCAGTGGCACCCTTGCGAACCGGCCCTAAGACCTCGATCGTTGGCGGCATGTGTTTCCTGAGCGTTCTGTAGTTGGACGGCGACTTAGTCACTCGCCGTCCAGGGGCCCCCCATTCCTTCGAGGGCGCCCACGTTGTGCGGCCATCCAGTAGGCCGTCCTGGCCTGCTTGCTGCGCACGAAGGGTCGCGTTGCCGTAGATGGAAGAGAAGGCCGAGATGCTCCGGGCTGGGTCTGGGGGCGCCTCATGGCGTATGGTGAACGACCACTCGAAGCCAGGAATGGGCGCGTGGTTCGGGTGCGGCCCTTGGCTGCCGTCGATCGTCACGGCCACCCTCTCCCCCAGAGAAAATGGCGCACGGCTCTCCAGCACGATGGTCCTCCTGTCATCAGCGACGTTGACCTTGGCGCGGTGATGCCTGCCCGTGACGCTGCCCTCCACCCGAATTCCGTCCCTCAAGGCCAACAGGGTGGCCTTCTTCTTGTTGAAGTGGACAGAGCTGAACCGGATGGCCATGGTCGTGTGGGGCGACACTCCCGACGCATTGACGGGTGGATGAAGATAGGCCACATCGGGATGACGCAGCGGCTCCGCTGGCTGGATCTTGAGCGCGTCGGATGTCTTTCTGAGGGTTTTGTGGCGCCGATGGTGCTGGCCCGAGGTCTTCTTGCCGTCTGAAGGACGGGAAAGCAGGAACGTGAAGAACGGTCTTACTGCGGCTGTCCTTTTCTGATACCTTCGCCCTGAGGCAGGGCAGGGTATGGGGTGAGCGCCAGTAGGAAGGGAAACAGAATAAGTCGGCCCAGCTGAGTCATCTGTGTGCGGAGGCAAAAATCTCTCAGGTCATATCACACCAACGGCAAGAAAAAATTGACGGCGTCACGGTTCTCTATTGCCCACAGTCGGGCAAGTAGTAAGAAAATTCCAGGAGGGTGGAGAGGAGTCTCAGAGGACGCCCTCACATCTGTCCTTCTTTCTCCCGCCGCTTGAAGATCACCTGCGACACATGGCGGTTGCGACACCCAACCGCCCGGCCAACCGCCCCTCTGTCGTTACACCCATAGGAGGGGAGCATAGGAGCTCTTTGGTGCCTCACTCAAGCATAGGAGGGGAAGTGTTTGTGCGCGATGCGGGCCGTCATCAGCTTCTTCGTGCTGACACTTCCTTTTCTCGGTTTATCACAGTTCAACAGAGGAGGGAGATTCGGAGCGTTTCAGTAAGCCAGCTGTGCGAAACACACACACGCGCCTGTGAGCCACAGAGTTTGCTTTGCGTCTCCACTACTCACCAGGTACGTCCATCCTAGACCTGGAGCGAGGCTGGTGTCGCGGCACACCACAATCGCCGTCAGGGAGGGGAGCAGAGTCGACCCAGGGTCGATAGACAAGAGCATCAGGGTGGCGCGCGCCGACAGTGGCAAAGAGGTGAGCGGCGCCTTTGTCCTGGCCCTGGACGAAAAGACCGTCATCTTCAAGCCGGATGAGCCATTCGAAGAGGGGACGCTCATCCAGGTCCACGTGCTCCCTGGCCTACTGGCGCTGACAGATGGCCGGAAAGTCGGAGGATTGCGATGGAAATTCACGTGAGTCGACAAATTCAGGTGGCAGCCGTGGATGGATACGTGAGTCGACAAATGCCTGCTTTACCTCTGTCAGTGTGTCGCCCATGCCGCCGCAGTCCAAGCACCCGAACCCAAAGGCCGCCTTTGGAGCGCATGATCGGCTCCCTTATGTGACCGACGAGGAGCTGAAGCGAGACGGGCTGTTGCAAGGCCTGGGTGGCAGAAAACAGAAGCTTCGAGTGGCACCGCACATGCATCCCTACGGTGACGGCCTGGTGAGACCGACGACCATGCAGAAGACATTCGGGCGCCTCTATGAGGTAAAGCTCGGCTCACTCGATCGGCCTACACCACTGGTGTATTGTTTTTTGTGATCCAGGACGGTACTGTGGAGATGATAGACGATACCATGTCCAAACGGCCCGCCGATAGATACAGAGGTTACAGGTACGTCCATGGGGGAGGCCGAGCAGGGCAGTGACGACATGCAATTCGTGGCTCCTGCCTGCGGAATGGTCGTTGAATATTGGTATGTCCATTGATGCTGGATCCCCTCAGGACCATTCCCCCGACGTTTCCCATGATAGACGTCACCGTGCCGCCGACGGAGGGCAAGGTGGCGGAGGGCTTCATCTTCCTCAGTACCAACATCTACATGCCGCCCTGGGCAGGGGTCTTCTATCCTTATATGCTTATACTCGACTCGGTTGGCGACATTGTCTACTACAAGGTATCTTTTCACCTAACGACGTCAACCCCCTCGCATACGGGGTCGGCCCTCTGCGTGTTCCCTCGCAGCACCTACAGCCGAACTTGAACGGGCACAGTGCGGGCGACACTTCTGTCATGAAGAGCGGTGAGGTTGCAGTTCGTCTGGAGGATGGCAAAGAGCTGCTGACCTTCGACGAGCGCTACGTCCTGACGAAGCAGTATGAGGCCGGCCACGGCTACACTGAGGTGAGCGATCAAAAGAGAGAGAGGTCACGTCACGATGGGTGCGAGGAAGAGGTCTCAGGGTGGGTGGGTGGGTGGGGTGGTTGCTCACTTCATGTTCGTGTCCATGTGTCAGCCGGGCATGCTCGATTTCCACGCATTCCAAGTTGATGATCGAGGCCACTACCTGGTGCTGATCGACGATGTCCAGGAGGTGGACATGCGGGACGTCTTGTGGAACGGCACCGAGAACATGTTGATGCGCGGCCACGTGGTGCAAGAGATCGACCCAGAGGGTGAGCAATCAACACGTGCTGCTGTTACATGCACATGGATGGATGATGATGCACTGATGCATTTGTGACCGTTTGAAGGCAATGTCGTGTTCGAGTGGCGCAGCTGGGACGCCTTTCGGCTGGACGAGCTCGCGAGATGGACACAGAAGGACATCCCCACGGACCCGGGCCGGCCATGGGACACGATGCACGTAGGCCAAGAGACGGGGTGGGGGGCACGAGTAGACATGGTGTCTTGATCCCCTTGTATGAAATCTATCTGTGTAGATGAACAGTATCGACTGGGCCCCCGACGGCCATCTGGTCTTCTCTCTGCGGAAGCTCGATGGAGTGATCAAGGTGAGAGAGGCGCTGTTGCAGACGACCGCATTCGAGAGAGTGTATGCGTGTGTCTGACGTCATTGTGTCCTCAGGTCAACCGAGACACCGGAGATGTGATGTGGCGGCTGTTCGGCCCGCCTGACACTGACTTCAACCAGTTCACGACTCCTTTCACCCCTCGAGTGTCCCACCAACACGACGTCCACTTCACGGCCGACGGGACCATGACCCTCTTCAGCAATGGCAACTACCTGGAGCCCGAGATCAGCACCGCGATGGAGTTCGCCATTGACGAGGAGGCTCGCGTCGCCCGGCTGGTATACAAGTACAGCGACCCAAGTATTTTCTCGTTCGCCACCGGAGGGTGCCAGAAGCTCGATAACGGCAACATGGCCATCGGATGGGGCGGGCTGAATCTGACGGGCATCGCGCCATTCTACACAGGTCCGCCAAGTCAGGCCACCAGTAAATATATGAGACCAGCAGAGCATCATGCCACTCGTCCGACCCCTGTCTGTCTGCCTTGTTGCGTGCGTGCGTGGGTGCCAACACAGAGGTGACTCGCGACAAGGAGGTGGTGCTTCAGATGAAGATGCGCGGTGGCGGCTCGTCCTATAGGGTGCGCAAAAGCCCGTGGGTGGGGGTCCCGCACTGGTCGCCTGTCATCGTGCTCGACATGCACCGCCACTTCAACGACGACCCGCACTCACTCCACTACAGGTGAGGTGGGTGTGGTGGGGCGAGATAAGCATCTTGGTAACCTCTTCTGGTGGGTGCCTGCCTTCTGTCTGATGTGCCTGCCCTGTTTGTTTGTCGCAGCTGGAACGGCGCGACCGTCCACACGACGTGGCGCGTGTACGCTGGTATGCACCCTGAGCGTCTCAAGCTGATCAAGGAGCACACGAAGACGCGCTTCGAGCACGTCAAGCAGCTCCGACGGACCAAGTGGTACAGTCCCCACGAGAGGTGCGTCTACTTCCAAGTCGAGCCTGTCGACTACAACGGCAAGACATTCCAGCGATCTGCCGTCTTGGCCTCACCTGCCTGCGGGAATGCCTAGTAACTAGCTCTTATACTGTCAATCAATTTATGACTGTCGTCTGTGAGCCCTCTTGTATGCCCTCCTTTATTTGTTTGTACGACTATTTTCGTATTATCGTCGTCACCATAACATATCAGTGTTACTAGTGTCCTACTTGCTAGTGTCTCCCTGGTGCATTCTTCGTGGTAGTCAGTGTGCATTTGCGTGTGGGCTTGCCGTGCTGGGCTGCGCTCTCTGGATGGATGGATGGATGGGTGGATCGCAGGCGATTTTTCTACTCTCAGTGAGAGGGTGTGGTGAGAACGTACGTGCTTACGTCCATGCAGTGTTTGGTACCCGTGATGACGGGAATTTTCTGCAAGTGTGAGTAGTCGCCTGTAATTTGTGGACATTTATTCATTGGCATGGATGTTTTCCTTCTGTGCTCGAGCGTGGTGTTGCAAGTGCGTCGACACTCTGCAGTCTCTAGTGCACTCGATCACCGACAAATAAATGCAAATGGGGCTTTTCTTTCATGCTCACATTGCCTTCACCCAACATTCGCGCCTACACAACGCACATGGCCGGCCTTCTACGCACCCCACCCCCCCATACTCCAGGCCCCAGGAAGCCACCTTGTCAGCAGCAGCAATGCATAGTAGCCTCCGACAACATTATCCAGCGGAGCGGATCTCGCGTCTTGAACGCCTGGACGACTTGCTTGACGGAAAGCTCGAAGGCGAACTCGTCAAAACTCTTCCGGGCCTTGTTTCTCTTGTTGTCCTGTTCCTTGTCTCTTGACCCCCAGCCTGTAGGCCTGATCTCCGCCGCCCGAGGGATAACCCACACGATCACCCACCGCTTGACCTTCTCCAGCGCCTTGCTGGCTTTCATCTCCTGGTCGATCAGCTCCTCGGTGAACGTGGCCGTACCGTGCCCCTTGTCGATCGTGGCTTGGAACAGATAGGCCGTCGTCCCAGACACGTAGAGTGAGTCGACGGCCTTCTGCCTGCCCACCTTTGGCTGCCAGAGTCCATCTTTGTCGATGTCTGAGTAATCCTCGAACTCGTAGCGCTCCGCCGACCCAAGTGATAGATACTCGGATGCTGGTTGTTGTTCTATGCGGCTCCTGGCGTAACGAGTGCGGTTGTCCTTCACGCGTTGTTGCTGGCTCTCCAGGCTCTCGAGGGGGATGTCGCTCTTCGCATCTCTCAGAAAGCGACTCACTATCGCCTCAAACATGCGGCCTCTCTGAGAGCCCTCAGCAGTATGGGCGGCCTCAGCAGTATGGGCGGCCTCGATGATCCAGTTCATGAATAGTCCCAGTTGCCGCTCGTTCAGCTCCTTCACGAACATGGCCAGCGGGCCAGGCGCGCGCCAGACGACATTCGAAAAGGCGTAGCCGTAGTCTCCCTCGGTTGTGACATTGATGCTCATTAGCACAGCCTGGGGCATTTCGTCGGGATCGACGCCTGACAGGCGCCAAAAAAAGTGCCATGTGTACCTGGCCAATTCACTCAGGCTCTTCACAGCCCTTACCTGACAGCCAAGTCTTCATCGAGTCGAAGTCCACTATTCTGGCACTACTCTCAGCACGTCGCCGGAGTTTCGACACTGGGGTGTAAAACTCGCGGATGTTACTGCCCGCGAACAAACGGCACTCCTCGATCTCGTCATCAGTCCACTTGGGCTCCATTACGTGCTTGAACAGCCGGTCGATCTCGTCGTCAGGCCAGAGCGGAAAAACGAGATCCTCCACGATGTACTTCTTGAAGCCGCTGTAATCGTCTGGTGTGCGGGAACATGCGGCCAAGACTGCCGGGCCGCTCCAGAAGCGATAGCCCTCCCGTCCGTCTGTTGGGACAGAAAGAAAGAGCATGCACAGACAGTCGATACAGGAGGCGTGGATCTCACCGATTAGTAGCCAGTTGCGACGATTGGCGCCCACGTCACCGATTCCATCGCCCTCGCCTGATGGGCTCCCCAACGTATCCTCCAGACGCGACTTGTCCACCATTTTAAAGACGCCGCCTCGCATGAGCTCGTAGACATCCTTGTCAGGAGCTCCTCCCCGCCGTGAGTTGTCAACATACCAGATAACAAACTCCTCTTCCTCCATACGTCCCGCGAGCACGGCCATCAGGAAGTAGAGGAAGAAACTCTTGCCCACGCCAGACGAACCACGCATCAGCATATGAGGGAGAGATGTGTCAGGGGTCGTCTTGGCGGCGCTCAACATGATCTCGGCCAGCTCGATGTACGCTTTGCGGACCATGACTTGTGTGCCGCCAATGAGGTCGATCGTGTCGTACGGCTGGACTTTGTCGAGATGAAGGGGAGTCAGATGTTCCCAAAACGTCTTGAAATCAGCAGGCTTCTCCAGCCCCATCGGCGGCGGTATCCGCTTCTGAGTGACAGCATGGTGGATGAACGAGTGCTGCACACGCATGCACGCACCTCTTGCTTGGCATCGCCGGCCTGAGCACATAGCCGGCTCGGAGGAGAGCCATCCAGGTGAGCTCCAGGCGGAGCGATGAAAGCCACAGGGAAGGGCAGGCGCCTGCCGTCGACGAATGCAGCGGAGATGAGGCACACGGCAAAGAGAGAGGACGCACTCATGCTTGTGCGGTGTCGAAGTGCCGCAGATCTGCATCGACAGAAAAGGCGAGGGACGCTACTAAGAGCATGGAACGACTGGGAGAACCACCAGATCTCTGATCTATGAGTGCAACGTTGCACGCCTTTGCACCTACCGAAGCAGCCGCGAGAAAAGGCTGATAGACGCTCAAGATGACTTAATCAACACAGTCCCTTGTCGGCCACGTGGATCGCTTGTGTGACAAAGGGAACCGGGGCACCTCTTCGGGCACGTTTGTAGGGATTTCGCCCTAAAGACATTTTGGGCTCAGAAAATGACGACGTTGGAGAAGCTGGGCGTTCAGGGCATTAGGAGCTTCGACCCTGAGAGCCTGCAGACAATCAAGTTCGAGAAGCCTCTCACTCTCATCGTCGGCCCAAATGGCGCAGGGAAGACGGTGTGTGGCAGATCTGCATGAATGGGATGCACGGCGTGGCAGCGTGATGGCTGCTGTTGCGTGTGTGCAGACGCTCATCGAGTCGCTCAAGATGATCACTTCTGGGGAGCTGCCGCCCAACGCAAACAAAGGACAAACATTCATCCATGACCCGAAGGTGTGGCAGGCTGCCAGCCAGGGAAGATGGAAGGGGAGAATGGGTGCTTGTTCTCGCCTTTGAATGAATGCAGTTGACAAATTCGCCCGAGGTCAGGGCGCAGATTCGTTTGGTGTTTCGCACAGTTGATGGCAAACAGGTGTGAGGCAATGGATGGATGAGAGGAGTGAGCGTCACGGCATTTCCGTTTTTGCCTGTGTTGTGTTGCTGCAGATAGGGGCGTGTAGGAAGTTTCAGCTCACCAACACCAAAGACAAGAACGGCCGGCTCAAGACCTCCTACAAAGTGCACCGTGGCACGCCTCAAACGAGGGGTCGTATCACCTTCCCTCGTGCCGGCTGTGTGCTATCTGTAGCAATTGGAGAGCGTGCTCCAGACGCAAGACCCGCGGACAAACGAGGTGAAGGAGGGACGCAGTACATAGGCAATTGGAAGGCCATATCAGTCCCACTGTCACCCGTCCTTTTTGTGATTCTGCAGAAGAAGAGCGTGAGCCATCGATGCGCTGACATGGACGCACAGGTCTGAGAGAATGGTCCATGCGGAGTGGCAGAATCGAGACTTCTCGCTTCCTGGTTTAGGTCCCACTGGTGATGGGCATCTCAAAAGCCATCCTCGAGAATGGTAGGTACAAGAGAATCCACTGCCTTTCAACGTGGTTCCTCACGTGTGTATCTTGTTGTGTGTGTCAGTCATCTTCTGCCACCAAGAGGACTCCGACTGGCCCCTGCAGGTGGAAAAGGAGAAATGGACCCCTCTGCTGGCCTGGCTTGTAGACTTGGACGCATTACATGATGCATCCATTCAGGATATGGGAAAGCTCAAGAAGAAGTTCGACGATCTGTTTGGCGCGACACGCTACACAAAAGCTCTGGCGAAGATCAAAGACATTCGGTGAGATGGCATCATCTCGCGCACAGACTGCATTCGCACTTGACGACAATCCAGTTCAAGTGTGATTGATTGATGTGGGGGGCCTATCAGTACGGCACAGGCGAAGGAGCTGAGGGAGCTCAATGAAGGCGTCATCAAAACAGAAAGTGCGAGAAATCAGGTCAGCCACAATCAGCACGTCTTTCAGGGGGTGTAACGGGGGTATACATGTCGTGTCCTTCCCACTCATTACGTGCAGGCTGTCAAGTATCGCAAACAAGTCGCAGAGTGTGAGGAGCAACTCGCAAAGCAAACCGCTCTCATCGAGTACGACGCAACGACAGTGCAGCCATTCATCGCTGGAATGCTACACTCCCTGTCTCTGCTTGGTGCCACCAGGACTCTCGAAGCTGAAATCGCTGCGGCCAACGTACACAGAGCGAGAATGGATGAGATGGACCGGCTCTGTCTGATGCGTCCTTGTCGTATGTATGGTGCACAGGATGCTGTCAAGCAGGCCACCGAGAGACTCCGAGCCGACGAGGACCTTGGCACCGAGGTCGAAAGACTGGAAGCGCAAAAGAAATCGTGAGTAATCAGACAGACACGAAGAGTGACAAAAAGTGGATGATTTCGTTGCCTGCTGCTGATCAGGATTGAGGATCAGATCGTAGAGGTCGAGAACGACATGGTGGAGGAGCTGGAGGGCACACTCGAGGAGGTCAAGGATATGGTGCAGAGCATGGAACAAGGAGGCCTTGAGGTCAGCCATGCATGTGCCTGCTTGCATGTGGCTGCGATGAGTATCTGCACTGCCCTTTCATGTATTGGGTATCTGCAGGCAGTCCGCCAGAACGAGAACAAAGCTGAGCGCGCGTACAACGAAGGCGAGCAGCTACGAAAGAAACTCACCGATGAGTGGGACAAGAAGCGCAATGCGGTAGGCCTTCTGGCTGGACCCACGTGCATCTGGTTTGGCTCACTGTATCCTGACATGCCAGCACGGGGCCCTCGGTGCTGCTGCGAGTGTGGTGGAGCAGTTCAAAGGTGACCGGGAGAAGATGCTGGCCGCCCTCAAGGAGCTCGAGCCCGTCAGCCAGTACCCAAGTCAGTCCCTCGGCGATGACATGGGGGCGCTCAAGTAAGACATCCACACAAGGGGGACATGGGAGACCATTAACTGTGAGTCGCGTATCTGTTGGATGCAGCGCACTCCTGCAGACCCGCAAGGAGGCTGTGGAGCGCGCGATGCGCGAGATGAACGACAAGGAGACCGAGTTGAAATCGAGCATCGATAATGTCGAGAAGAATCGGACGCGGCTGCACAGTACGCCCACACGATAGCATCGCTGATTTTGCGTTATTATGTGGGCCTTGTGCTGTCTCAGTGGAGGTCTCTACCTGCAAGGCGCAGTACGACTCATGCATCAAGAGCATCCAAGAGACGGAAAGCCAAATCAGAAAGGTAGTACACCTTAATGCACAGCTGAAGGCTCTGCCGGGTCTCTATCGCTCCGTGGCGGTCGGTGTCTGTCTTTCCCTCCGTGTTGACATTGCTCAGCTGGCCGTGACGGGCGAGGACTTGAGCCAGCTGAGGGCGAGCATAGCCAAACAGAAGAGCAGCATCAGGCAAAGTCAAGACAATGCTATTCTCGGAGGTGGGTCACTCACTAGACACAGATCGACGACAGGCAATCACTTGTCTGTCATACAGAGACTGCTCGTGAGGTGGATGAGCTGGCCTTTAAGAAGCAGGAGGTCGCCCAGCGCATTCGCAAGGCCGACGAGACGGTGCGGTACCTGGAGGCGCAGTCCAAGCAGATCAACGAGGTCGACTTCATGCGCAAGAATCTGCAGAAGACCGAAGACACCTTATCGGTAAGTACACACGACCAGAGAGGCAGAACACACATAGACACGTGGGCGGATACTTGATGGGTGCCGCATGCAGGACAAATTCTCAGACTTGAGGCAGCCCATGGTTGAGCTGCTGGGCTCGGAACCTGACCCTCATGCGGCAGGTGAGTGACGCAATCTAACGGTGACGTGCAGGAAGTGCTTGTATGCTTTTGGTACGCCCGTTGCGCAGGAGAGGTCGTGCAAAAGGAGATGCGCAACTTGCGAGACGACCTGGCAGCGTAACTCTGGCTGGCACTTACTTGTGGACTTATGTCCTTGCACCACCGCACGGATGCTTGTTGCAGGAAGAACCGTGCCTTCAACGAGCTTCAGAAGAGCCACGCTGAGCACAATGCGCGGCGCACTGTGATGGAAGAGGACGTGAGTCGCTTCAGCACCTCATGTGTCGAGTGTGTATCCTTCATTTCTTTCTTTCGTCGGTCGGCATGAATGCAGGTGAATCAGTTGAGTCAGAAGCTGAAGGAGCAGCTCCGCCTGATGGGTGAGGATTCGTCTGCTGCAGCGGCGACAAGCCTGGAGAAAAAGGTCGAGGACGCAACCAAACAGCTCGCAGCCGCGGAGGAGAAGGCCGGGCTGGGTATCGCCGCCCCGAAATTTTACCACAAGGCGCTCCAAGGTCAGCCAACATCTTGTGTAGTGAGGGAAAGCCCCGGGGCGGGCGTGCTTGTCTATGTGTCTGTGTTGTTACCGTGTGTGTGTGGATGGGGTGATGGTTGCAGCTTCCAAGGACAAGGGCAAGTGTGTCCTTTGTCAGCGCCCGTTCAGCAAGAACGAGGACGAGAGGAAAGTAGAGATCGAAGAGCTGGAGAAGAGCATCAAGGGAAGACTCGAAAATGTAAGAAACGAGTCTGCATGCCCGTTTTGGCAGCTCGCTGCGGAATCCGTCTGTTTGATTAGTCAGCGTGACCCTCTCTCTCTCGATGGATGAATGCAGATCACGACGCAAGCGAAGGCCAGCGAGGAGGCCATCAAGAAGGTGAAAGGGGAGCTGGCTGATCTCGAAAAGCAACGGCCACTTCTCGAGAGGATCAAGGCCCTGCAACGCGAGCTTCCCACCAAGGAAAATGGCCTCCAGCAGCTGAACAAGGTGACAGTCAATTACCTGACACACGGCGACAGACAGAGCCTGACTAGTACGCGCAGGGAGGTGCACCTGGTGGGTTGATTTGTTTCGTTGATGGCTGCAGGAGGTCACCAAGGCACACGAGGCCCTCCAAGCTGCAGAGACTGAGAAGCGCGTGGCCGACGAGCGTCTGGCGAAGCTGCAGCATCTCCAGCAAGACGTGACGCAGCTACAGACCCTAGCTCAGGACATCAAAGAGCAGAAGAGGTATGCAAGCACCTGGGCATTGAGTGGTTGAGGGCCTTTTTCCTGTACTCGTGTGTTTGTATGTCGTGCAGGCTGCTGGAAGAGAAGCAGGGCGCCTTGATGCTGCAGGGCGGTGGGGCTGCGGACACGGATGCCCTCGAGGACGCCCGCAAGAATCTCGCTGCCCTTCACAAGGAGCTGGACACGGTGGGCAAGGAACATGGCAGGTGGAGGCGAGATATTCACCGTGGTGGCTCTGTGTCTGTCTGTGAGCAGGTTACCTCTGAAGAAGATGAAGCGAGAACTCGAAAACAGCTGGCTGACCAAATGGCTCAGAAGGGAAAGTAAGGGACCAGACAGACACGGCGACATGGCACATTGGTGCATGTGTGTGTGTGTGTGTGTGTGTTGTGCTTGTGGCGTTGGACCAGGATGAAGCTCACTCAGCTGGAGAAGGACCTAGCGACGGCCGAGAGCCAGTACGAGGTCAAGATGGAGCTGGAATCCGCACTCCGAACCAAGAGAGAAGAGGTCAAGAAGCTGCAGGAAAAACAAACTCTGGCGCAAAAGAAACTGGACGAGTGAGTGATCGCAAACAGCCGGCTGGGGGTTGGTGGATCAAAATATGTGTCTTCTTTTGCTTTTCCTGCACGTAGGGTCCAATCGAGGCTCGACCAGCTGCAGCGTGACAAGGACGACAAAGTCAAGCAGGCCAAGTGAGTGGAGAGGAGGAGGGCATCAGAGGCCATCACAGCTCACTCTTGGCTCACTCCTCTGTCTGTGGTGCCTGTTGCCATTTCAGAAAGAAGGTCGAAAGCAGTGAGCAGCAGCACCGCAGCCTCAAACAGTCAGTGGACGAACGAGGGGATGAAAGAAGGAAAACTACGGGAGTGTCACGTAATTGGTTGCAGGCGGGTTGACGACCTGCGGTCGATTGAGACCCAGCTGGCTAAGAAGCAGGAGGAAGTCGCCAACGCACAAACCATCGCGTGAAGCCATACGCCCTCAGCCCTCGATGAATGACATACATCCATTGGTGGTGCATCTGGTGTTGCAGGGACGAGGTATCGGCTGCTGAGAGGGCTCGGAACGCTCAAGAGAAGAAGGTTGAGGATCTTCGGGCAGCCCTGAAGCAGGCGCGAGACAATCGGCTCAAGGAGGAAAACGACTACGGCGTGGCAAAGTAAGCCCAGAAGGGATGACTGGGTGGCACATGAGATGGGCGGATGACTGCAACATTGTCGTCTCATTTCGTGGCCTGCCTTGCTGTCTGTCCACAGGAAGCAGGTCAAGGTAGCCACGCTGAGATCTGCTCTCGACAAGAAGGAGAAAGAGCTCGAAGCAAAGCGACAGAGGCTCGGTAAGAGGTCGACCAACTACAGACCCCCAGCACGGTCGTACAGATGTCATTCGTGTCGTATGCGTCAGGCGGTCGCAACCTTGCTGAGAAGCGGGCCGAGGTGGATCGTCTGACCAAAGAACGAGACGAGAAGAGACAAAAGAAGTGAGCGGCTCGGCACAGAGCAGAGACAGCCTCGCTGACACCGATTGTGCCCATGTCAGGTCCTTCGAGGAGGGCAGCACGAAGACGATAAGAGCCCAGATGGATCGCGTCAAGGCCGACCTCAAGCAGGAGCAGTACAAGGACATCGACCAGAAATACCTCGATATCGTTCTCAAACACCAGACACTCAAAATGGCCAACGACGTAAACACACTACCAGGCAGGCAGTCAGGGCGGCAGGCAGTCTGGCAGGGGAGGGTAGGAAACGAAGGACCGTCTGACACGTTTTCATGCCGTCGACCTGGTGTGAACTTTGATGTGCAGGATCTCCAGAAGTACTACACTGCACTCGACAAGGCTCTCATGAAGTACCATGCGATGAAGGTACCGCCCACCACACTGCACCTACTCGGTTTGACAGCCGGCCACTCATTGTCGGAATGCCCCTACAGATGCAGGAGATCAACAAGACAATTCGTGAGCTGTGGCAGTCAGTCTACAAGGGACCCGACATCGACTCTGTAGCTGGTGAGCAATCAGCGAGGGACAGATCAGCCGATGTACAACCTCAGAGCAGGATGTCCACACGGTGTTGCTGTTGTGTTGCCGCAGTGCGTTCGGACACTGACGAAGACGCTCCCGCCAGCACGGGACAGCGCTCCTACAACTATCGGTACACAGATCGATGCACGCACCCATCGCACGCATGGATTGTGTGGTGGTTGATGATCGGTCTACCTGTCTAGTGTCGTGATGCTCAAGGGCGGCCAAGAGCTGGAGATGCGGGGTCGGTGCTCGGCAGGCCAGAAGGTGCTCGCGTCTCTGGTGATCCGGCTGGCCCTCGCCGAGTCCTTTGGCGCCAACTGTGGCATCCTGGCGCTCGACGAACCCACCACCAATCTGGACCGATATAACATTGAGGCACGCGGCCACTCACCCATTCACAGGCATGCATCGCTTGCTGCACCAAGACTGGTTTTCCTTGTTGACATGTGCCTTTGAGCAGGGTCTGGCAAAGGCGCTGGCTGGCCTCATCGAAGCAAGGCGCGACAATGCAAACTTCCAGGTGAGCTAACTGAAGCCAATCAAATGAGACGGAGAGGATGCACGACGGCACACGTCACATCCGGGGCTTCTTTTTCCTGTCCATGGCTGCAGTTGATTCTGATCACCCACGATGAGGAGTTCGTTCGTCTGTTGGCGCGTCACCAGCCCTGCGACCACTTCTGGCAAATCCACAAGAATAGCAAAGGGCACTCGGTCATCACGCAAGCAGATATCCGGCGGTTCTGAGACGCGCCAGCTCAAAAAGACTGCCTGTACTGAGCTAGCTATCAGTAGAATGGATACTCGACAGGTGCTCGCTTAGTGTGACAGAGCTAGAAGAGGACATGCAGTAGACAGAAGGTGATCCTACCCTTTTCATATCATACTCGTCTCAGTGTCAGGCCAAGCATTGGGTCCGTGTGTGTCTGCCAGACGATAACAATCGCCCTGATTGCAGACACCTAACAACGTCCCCGGCAGTCCAGACGGGGGAAAGCTACGTCCGACACCGAACGAAAGATGAAGGAGAGACCGCGACGGGCCTTTCAGTGTCTGTACAATGAATCATTTCCGATGACGCCGAAGCCGCGTTGCGCACATACCATCGCTCCAAAAATCATTCATTCATTCAGAATGATTCATTCATTCATTCGGCGTCATGAACACACAAGGCGTCTTTTTGTGAGACGCTTACTGTCTGGACACGTCAAGAGATCTATCCCGAGAAGCACGTGTCGTCCCGATTCCCGATCTTCGTGGGATAGGGTGCGCGGTTTTACGGTGAGTTCACGATGGCATGAGCGCATGCATGGGCATCTTGGCATGGGAGTACAGTAGACTATTTGTGATTTTAAAGGTCTGGATGGCTCGGGAGAGAAAGATATCACGAGTCTGGGTGACGTGCCTAATGTCTGCGGGATGTGTGTCAGAACACAAGCTGGGGTGAGAGACACGACCTCATTTTCTGACCAGTTTTGCAACTCGTGTAAGCGGCATGCAATCCACCTTTGGATGATAGACGACAGCATGGTATAGTTTGTTTGGACTGAACAGCTGGGGCGCAAAAGAAACTAACAGCTGACCGTTGGCGAGAAACGGCTGGAGAGGATTTTCGAAAATGATTTTTGGGGGGTCTTTGAAAGGGCAGGACGGATCCTCTGTGACAAGTAAAACGCTTCAGTGCCGTTTTTCTCAGTTAAGATTCTCATTGGAGAAAACCCGAGGCGGCTGAGAGGCGGCTCGAGACATGACTGGATGGACTTTCTTGGCATATGGAAGAGGCTTGTGTCTGGTTTGTGTCGCGAAGCCACCTCTTGATTCACACGGGGAAGCCGCAAAGACTCTGCTGGCTCTCGCGCAGATGGTGGCGGGATCGGAGGGCGCACAACACTGTATGGCTCCTGCCAAGTCACTGACGCCGCAGATGATGGCAGAACTTGGGCGCGCAACACTGTTTCATGATTCGCTGAAGACTCTGCAGCTGCTCACCCCTTCTTCCCCGCTTCTGCTATCACTACGCCTGTCCTCGGCCTTCTTCAGCCTCGAAAAGGCCTCGTACAGGTAAATCGATAACACATCGTATGCGGTTCATCCGTGGATGCGTACTGTAATAATGACATATACAAATCGTGTACAAATAGTTGTACTAAGCATCGATAGTTCGACAAACCACGTACACTGGTGTAGCATAATGTTGGGACCATGCAGCCTAATATCGTAACTCCCCGGTCCAATTTGTCATCATCCTTGATCGTACGGCAAACTGTTCCAACGGATGCCATCATTATCGTGACCTAAGTGAGGAGGGGGCCTGGTAGGTGGACTGGCCGTGGTCGTGGAGGTCGAGAGAGAACTCGGATGGACCCGTGACGGCAACGCGGTCTTCACGGGTCCGCTGATGGGAGTTCCATTTGCTACAGAAGCTCAGAGCTTGATGAAGCTCTTGGCCAAGCGACAGGGACCGGTGATCGAGAGGGGAGAGCAAAATGGGGACGGAGTTGCCATCCATGGGCGAGGAGGGGCTCTGAGACATAGTCAACACCGTCTTGGATAACTGCATGACGGAAAAGAACAGCCTCTGGTAAAGTGACAGGTTCTCTTCAGTCGTGTTGACGTGAGTGGCCCCTGTGTGCTCGTCTGTCGTCACGAATGGATTCTCTTGAGAGAGGAAGCTCTGCAGGCCGTCCAATGCTGCAATGGCATCCCTCATCGAAGCAAAAACTGGCGGGGGTGGTCCATAGGGAAGTGACGGAACAAGTGGTGATGCAGACGGTTGCCAAATAAAGTCCGCCTGTCCTCCTGTCCCAGTGGATTCGCCTGTTGCACCAGTGTCCCAGCGTCGCATCTCCGACAGTTGCTGTAGGAGCAGGCGCTGTTGTGGCTCCGACAGGCTCCGCAGCTGACTGAGAACATGCTGTCGGCTTTCGGGGCTCTGCACCAATGCCTGTAGGACTTCCCGCAGCTGTTCCGGGGTCTCGTGACTGGGGGCAGACGAGGGAGGCTGAACACCGGTCGCTCCTTCACTGTTCTGAGAGCCGGCTGGAGGGGGCGCGTACTGCTCGTTCTGATTTACAACAATGTAGCTTCTGTGGATGCTGCTAGTTCTTGTATAGACGACGTACCTGTGGCGACTCTACTAATATGACGCCCTACACAGAATGACAGCACACGCCAATTCGTGTCACAGCAACGCTTATTTTGTGCATACCTCAATGGCAGGAAGATCGATGCCGTCATTCCTGTGGTATTTCTGATACATCTTGTATGACAACAAGCATGTAGAAGAACACACACATCCTCTTCATTGTCTAACGTTGATTGCCATCGCTTCCTTGCTCACCTTGTACCTCATTCCTGTGCGGCGCTCGGCCTGGCCTGAAAAGGGGTTGAAAGCAATCGAGAAATAGCCTACCATGGATGAAGGGACAGAAGAATTTGCCTACCATGGATAAAGGGACAGTAATAGCGATGACAATGCGAGTTCCTCTGATACGCAACGCAGTCTACTGTCTTGTAGAACCTACAACAGACGCACATACGACACAGAGGAGCCCTCTCGCCCTCCACGTGTGGCCTACAAGGGATGGTAGAATACTTCCTCGGCAGAATGTGCATAGGGACACCTGACAGAGGAAGTGGTTCGAGGGTCAACCGACAAATTTGCGGACTCACTTGTTGCCCTTCGTGCAGTGGTTCGCACGGATGGACTCCTGACATACCAATTAGCAATTACACCAGCCATGTCAGGCGGCAACGAGTCTTCAACAACCCACCTTTTCGAAGTCCACATCGACAAGGTTGCATTTGATCTGACAGTACTTGATGCAGTCTCTCTTGTTGTGGTAGAAGACCCTCCGCCGATTCCATTCGATGTTGTGAGAGTATTGGCACCTAATGATCGTGATGAACAGCATGCAGAGGTCAAAATGGAGAAGGCTGCGACTTCGGTATTACCTGTCTTTGCCGAAGTCGCAGCCTGTTCCACCTGTCAGCCGTTGACACTTGCTCGTACGGAAAGTGGCGAGGTCTTCCTCGCTCAACAGAGGCGTGTAAGCCATGGGGTTGTCGGCACGTTTAGACGCTCAGAGATGATGAAAACCGACAGACGCCAGCTCTGACGATGCAGAGCACCAGGATTGGTGGCGCCCGGGAAGGGGGAGAATCGTGGAGAATCCTTCGGGTCGAGCTTCGTGTAACTTTACTACCTCCGGCGGAAGTGCTCGGATTTCTACCGGGCGTCCCTTTTCCCAAAAGATAAGCTCATGTTGTCTTTGAGCGATACCCCATTGGGCCCACAGGCGAACGTCGAGTCCCAGCCTTCAAGTTGCCCTCCCGAGCATCAGCATCAGTCCCGCTGTCCCCAGTCCCGAGCTGACTTCCACGCCGCGGAAGACGCCTACTACCGCGACCCCGCGAACGACACCTTGCTCCAATTTCAGCCCTCTCAGCCCTTCATGTCTATCCAAGAGCACGGGAGGAAAATAATGGAAAAAGAACGAGAGCAACGACAAAAGAAGGAGCTAGGTCTGTCAGGGGAGCCCATGTACATGGCAAAACGCATACGTTTCTACCTGTTGTTCTTGTTTCTTCCCGTCGCTCTCAGATGAGAGATTGGCGTCCGATCCTGTTTTTGCGGAAAACTACCGTCTCTCTCGCTTGATGGAATGTGAGTCTGTATGGACGAGGAAAAGGCAATACCGACCGTCGACGATGAATGGCTCTTTCCTGTCTATACCATGCAGTTGAGTATGTGTTTGGCAACCACATTGAGGAGCTAGACTCGAACTGCTCTGAAGGTGAGCAAACATGCATTTGTGTTCGCAAGATATGTGCTCTGTGTCTGTCTCTGCCTGCCTGTGTGCGTGTTGTGCAGAGCCAGTTCTTACCAATTGGCCACAGCGGTCCCGCCATGTCACGCCCCCAATGCTCTCCTCGCCTCTGCTGCATGCAGCCACGCCAGCTGACAGTGACTCTGGATCGGGCGGATCCACCCCGCGGACACTCGGCCGTCCCTCTGTGGGCTGTTGGCCCTGTTCTTCGAAGGCCGAGCCGCTGAACTCACACTCTGATCATCGGCCCAACTCACATTTAGGAGAGCCCAATTCGGTCCCTCAACCGGTGTGGCAGCGGCTGTGGAGCTTTGTCTGTGCGCTGCCGGGGAATGTGTGGCGGGGCTGCCGCAAAGTGTGGGACTCCATCTGTGCCTGGTGCCATCGGTGCCTTGTGGGAGACAAGAAGAGCCGCTGAGGGCCAAAATGGCCTGCACGGGGGAGAGACGTGGCAAGGACGCCGAAAGGCTGAGATTAGCATCTGCCGTTCGGACGCCCTCGTGACGTGCTCTGCACCTTGTCAGGCGTTTACTGACCAGCGATTCACAAGTCTCTGGGAGGCCGACATATTCGGTGCCTCCTTCCCTGCACCAGAGAGGGACGCCATGACGCAGGGGACCACCTTAGGTGCCATCATGACGAGCGCCGCTACCCCAGTGTTTTCGCCGGCTTGAGGAACAGCTTGAGTACCTCGCAAGTGACTGACTCTTGAGGTTCTTGGGCAAGGAAAGGACGCCGTGTCTCGCGTATGAAAGACAATGCGACCGAGCCATCTGTTGACTAGAGGGATTCAGGGTCTGAGTGGCAGTTTCGCTCGTTTCCGCTACCATTTGTCGCTTTCTTGGGCATGTCTCTTGTGACGGGACAAACGGTCTTTTCATTTCTGTCTTCTGGTATTTTTCTGACGCCACCACGTACTGGGGATTTGCTGCTCATACTGTGGTGCACTGATTGATGACGTGTCAAATGTTTGTGGCTATCGCCGCTGCTTTTACTGGCGACTTTCGATCATGGGATGTCAGGCAGGCATGGAGATTTTTCTGTGAATGGCGAGTGGGACACAACTAAGACAGGGCAGCGGGGCAGCAGTTCATCAAGAGTGCCATCGAGCTTCAGCCACTTCCTGGTACTTCCTGGGCAGTCTCTGTTGACGCCCATGGACGACAACAACGACAGAAGGAGCTTGATCGTTGACGCATACGCATCCCATATCTGCCTCCGAGAAGAGCCGCGGGGTGCACTCCTTGGTGCGATGCGGAGGTCTTCGAGAGGAAGCCGGGGCTGCAGTGGATGCCTCAGGCCCTCAACCACCTCCGAAGAGGCAGAAAAGGCTCCTGTCGGCACTTCTCCTGTCCGGGATGGCGAGCAGCAGCTTCCTGACACTGAGGGGAAGAAAGGACAGATGAGGGGCGTTATGCCTGGACTGGCAGTGGCAGCTTTTTTTTTTGGTTTGGTTTGGTTTGTTTTTTTTGGGGGGGGTTGGTTGGTTGGTTGGTTTGTTTTTGTGTGTGTGTGTGTGTGTTTTTTTTTCCTATTGGATCCGCTGTTCAAGCCGTCGTTCACAGCGATACGCAGGCAATAATGCACACATGACACGCAGATCCTTCTTTCTCTCCGTTTGTCCTGTCTTGCGTGTTGTGTTGTCAGCAGTGTCTCGTGCACAGCAATCGACCCCCTGGCCCCCCCCCCCACTGCGCCCCC